ATCTATCTATCTATCTATCTATCTATCTATCTATCTATCTATCTATCTATCTATCTATCTATCTATCTATCTATCGAGCGATCTATCTATCTGTTTATCTATCGAGCGATCTATCTATCTGTCTATCTATCTATCGTGATGTCAACTCATAATCTTGAAAAGTCACGATTCGTGATGGTTAGCTGCGAAAGACGGGGGTAAGATGGCGGCCAATTCTTGGAATTGTATGACGATCCCTCAAACTTTTCTTCAACTCTTACACCTATAGCCAGGGCTCCTTCCTTGCAATTGTGAAATAAAACACTTTTTACATTTTTGAAATGAAAAACGAAAATATAATATAAAATAAAATATATTGAAAACAATCTGGAAAAATATCTGAATATCCCCGACCATCCAGATTAAAGGTACACAAATCACAGACCACATGTTTGGTGAGCGCAGCAGTTAAAGGACTGTAAACATAAGAGAGTTTTCATTTAAAAAAAGAGTGGTTTGTTTGTTTTAAAGTGGTATCCTTCAAACAGGTTTACAATAATCTTATAAAATTGTTAAATTAGTTTCTTTCAGTGTTTCTGCAGCAGAGAAATTAAAATAGAAAATCAATTTTCAACGAGAAAACTAATGCTATATCATTCATTCTTTACTCTATATATAAATAGACAGGCACTTTTAATGATATCTACAATTTTTAATAAAATCTTTCAAAAAGGAATGAAGTCTAAGCCACAAACGTAAATTTTCTAATCCCTATGTTTTTGTAACCTGGTGTTGTAAACCTTTGATATTTCTAACTAAAATTATTTAATCTAACAGAATTCATAGTTAGAAATATTTAAGGTCTACGGCATTGGTTTGTAAAGATATAGGGATTAGAAAATCAGAGTTTGTGGCAAGCGAAGACTCAATTTATTTTCGGTTTTCAACTTGCCTTGTTTATTGGGACACCCTGTACACTGTTTTTAATACATATACTGGAGAAAACATATTGGGACACCCTGTATACTGTTTTCAATACATATACTGAAGAAAACATATTGGCACACCCTGTATACTGTTTACAATACATATTCTGGGGAAAACATATTGGGACACCCTGAATACTGTTTTCAATACATATACTGGAGAAAACAAATTGGGACACCCTGTATACTGTTTTCAATACATATACTGGAGAAAACATATTGGGACACCCTGTATACTGTTTTCAATACATATACTGGAGAAAACATATTGGGACACCCTGTATACTGTTTTCAATACATATACTG